CAAGCCAAGCTGATGGCTGCCAGCACAGCGGTGGAGGCGGGAGCCTCTCCTGCCTCCTCAGCAGCACTAAGGATGTCCAACTACAGCTTAGGCCTGCTCCCCGCTGGCAAGTGGAGATCCCCCGAGGGCTCCTGGGCTGCCAGAGGGATGTCTGACTGCCTGCTTAGGCCCGATCCCCCAGGGAGCGGGCCTAAGCAAGCAGGTGGACATCCCCCGAGGGGTCCCAGACTGTGACAGCACCCAGGCTGGGCTGAGGAACCCCAGAGTGCACAAATTTTTGTGCACCAGGCCTCTAGTATATATATATTTAGAACATTTTAATATATTAGGTCTCCTCTCTAAAAGGATGGTTTATCTGTAAAAATTTTTCAGATTTTTTGTGTTTGTAAATATACTATAGCAATATTTAAAGTTTTCTCAATTTTGAATTTACAATCTTTGTTAATTTAAGTCCTATGCATTTAAATATTGAAACTGCTGTGTACATGACATGTTTTTCCTCCATTATGCCATTTAATTATCTCTTATTTACATAAAAGCCATTTATTTTCATGTATATATTAATAAACATAATTGTTACTGTGAAAATGTTTTGAAAATATTACGTGTAATATATGTAAATATACTAAACCACATTTTAAAACTTTTCTTCTAAACTAATTTTTTTAAAAATCTTGATGTTAGGCTCTATAACCCTAAATGGGTATAAAATAATAGCAGGTATTTAACAACAACAAAAAAAGACTTGCAAGTGAAGCAGTATAGTAATAAAAATACTTTTAAGGAAATTATTGTTGTTTTACTCTCTCAATAATTACAACAAAAGTAATTTATAATGAATATATTATAATTAATATCTTGTACTATCTTCTAGCACAAGTAATAACCACCATTTCATAAAGAAAAATAAAGAATTAAAAGTAATATTGGTTTACAATGCAATTTACAAATGCAGCAATCACTATTCATTTCAAAAAGATGTTCACTAGCACATATTAAATATTTTAAATGTATATGTTTAATTTAGTCACCTAAACTGTAATGTTCACAAGCTTTAAACAAAAGAAAAGTATAAAAAGAGAACTTATCTCCTTTTTGCTATGACTTTATCTTTTCTTAACTATAATTCATACTTTTTTATTTCACTTCACAACCCATTATCCACTCTGTCAGTATCATCTTTTCTCCAACCTAATAATACATATAATGAACACAGATGATGACATTGAAAAGAAACAGTGCATGTCAGCTCTTTCTCAAGTTGTGCATCATAGACCAGTTGTCCTTGAAGGGGCTTCTCCTAATTAATTACTATCCTTATTTGTAGAGCAATCATATTGGCGAGAATTGATTGGGCGTGTAAGGCACTTCATTTAGTTGGTAGAAAATTCTCTTAATTAAAATAATTTTACTGCTGGTAAAATTAATGCACCCCATGCAAACTTTCCAGCTTGATTTTAATGTTTTTCTTCAATATTATTTTATGGAATAATAGGAAATAAGATCTTAATAGCAACAACTAGAAAATAAATGAGAATTACATAAAATGTGTCATTCTATTTACATTCTTTTTTCCTTTTTTTGCACTTATTCTAAAATCTGTTTTTGAAAACACTACCAAAAGTAGTTGCATTGTTTAAACTTTGTACTAACCATAACAAATAATTTTTGTGCCGCTACTTAATTATTTGTTGACAATTGAGCTGTATCACACTGAATTCTTTCGCTTGGACAGCCAAAGTCATTTAAAAATATCAGATATGGAGGTCACATAATTTGTATCCTATATAATAAAAGGCTAATATGCTAAATGTCCAGTTGTCCAGTTGGCCGTTCAACCAATCAAAGCATAATATGCTAATCATATGCTAAGGCCACTCAACTGCTCGCTATGATATGCACTGACCACCAGGGGGCAGACGCTCCGACAGGTAGGCTAGCTTGCTGTTAGGGTCTGGCCGATCAGGACTGAACTAGACGGGCCAGACAGCCTGGAGCCCTCCTGGGGGCCCTCCCTGGCTGACCAACTTCCTATATCCCTCCCTGGCCCTGATCATGCACTGGTGGGGTCCCTCGGGCCTGGCCTGCACCCTCTCACAATCTGGAACCACTCAGGGGATGTTGGAGAGCCAGTTTTGGCCTGATGGCGTAACAACCAGTCGCTATGACACACACTGACCACCAAGAGGCAGATGCTCAATGCAGGAGCTGCCCCCTCATGGTCAGTGTGCTCCCACAGGGGGAGCACTTCTCAGCCAGAAGCCAGACTTATGGCTGGCAAGCTCAGTGGCAGTGGCAGGAGCCCCTCACGAGTGCATAAATTTCATGCACCAGGGCCTCTAGTTTAGTAATAATTACCTATGTTGATTAAGGTTTGAACATAGATTCATGAAGTTATAATTAAATATGCTTATATTACTTTGATGATAATTGCTCAAAGCTGATTTATCCATGAACAATTTTGACTTCATATTATTCCTATGTCCTAGAAAATATATGTTGTCCTACTCATTTATAAAATTGATTCTATTTGCTTAAAGATAATTTTACCAATGAGCAATTTTCCTATTTATTACTGTTTTCCTTAAAATGTTTGCTATTTTATTGTTGTGAATATTATCTTTAGTAATTTTTAGTTCTCAAAGAATTTCAATGTTTATTATTAAGTAAATGTATGCGTGCATCATTCCTACATGGAGACAAAGGGAAATCAAGCATAAAAAATGATGTTGGGACTGAAGTCCATGAACTAATTTGGCTGATAACAATAGATTATGCTTCTCAATCTGCAACATTAAAAGCATTTGGGGAGGCTGCACAGATCTTCTATGTCCACCTCACTACAATGCCAGTTTGTTTGCTCTGTAGTGGAAGTAGAGCTATAAGTATCATTTAAAGCCACCTCAAGTGACTGTAATATGTGGCCAAGTTTAAACCTCTGAGCTAACACAATCCTTAAATAGTGGCGAGACCAGATGTTTTAGGTAACTTCTCTATACACAGTTGTTGTTGTTTGTTTTGTTTGTGTCCTTTGTGAAACAGCAAGTATTTATAACCCAGTCTCTAAAGTTCTTTTTATCATTAACAATCTAATCAAGAAGCCATTGCAATCTACTACCATGTTTGATCTTCAGAGTGATTTACTTAATGAACCGATAACTATTTCTGTCATTAGGAGTTGTTAACTCTCCAGAATAGCATATTAGGAACATGATGAAATAAATTATCATGTTTTCTGTTTAAAAGACTAATTGTTAGTTTACTTCTACTTTGTTTTAATGTTATAGTGGTATTATAAGTGCAGCTGCTGCCAGTTGAATACAGTAAGCCATTATTTGAGAACAGACATAACAAATCTAATTTGCTGATTGTTGATAAATTATAATTCCAAAATATCATTGACAGAAGAAATATTCCTTGTTAGAATTAATTGGACTATCATACAGTTTTCAGAATGTGGATTAATTTGCATAAGCTAAGTCAAATAGTACTCAAAGTGTAATCAAAGAACAGAAAAGTATGCTCATCAATATAGGTTTTGAAATAGGAACTTGCAGTATGTAAAACAATTAAAAACATATTTAATAAAATGTGTTAGACTTATTTCATTTCAAGTGTTAAAGCCAAAAAACTAGAATTTCTGTTGATATCTCTACCATTTGCTCTCTGTATACAATTCATAAACAAGAACTTCTAATTATTTTAGCTATGATTATCACACTCTACTGTTTTTACCCTAATCTATTTCTCCACTTTTTTTTTTTATTAATGTGTCAAACTTTCCAATGATTTCATATTTCTTTTAGAATAAAAGTATGAATATTTTAAGCCAACATTTTAATTCTAGCATTAAAATATTCTCTCCCCAAGCCTTATTTTCACTCTTGTTCTCAGAGTTCCAGCCAGGCCTTCAAAGGATTTATCTCTTCTAATTTTGTATTTTTGTTTTCTGGTTGTGGTGTTTTTGTGTTTTGTTTTGTTTTCTACCTGCTTTATTGGAGATATGATTGACATACAGAAAGTTATAGATGCTGAATATATACAACTTGATATGTTTAGAGATAAGTATATACCCATGAAACAATAATCACAATCAATATCAAAAACTTATCCATCACCTCTGAAAAAATTTTCCCACCCCCTTTGTTTATTTTGTTCGTTTTCATTTTTTTTTTTATTTTTTGTGACAAGAAAATTTAACTTAAGATCTATCATTTTAGCCCATTTAAAAATATTACATAGTATAGTATTAATCATAGTCCTATGTTGTACAGATTTCCAAAACTTATATTTCTTGCATAACCAAAACATTATATCTTTTAAACATAGTTTCTGTTTATGTTTGTTTTAAGCATAATTTCTTTAATTCTCCAAATCCTCAACTCTGGTCTCATTCTCCATATCTCTGTGCCAGGGTCATTTTATCATGGAAACCTTATCTGACCTCCCAACTTACTCTCCCAATTGCTCATATTTTCTTTTCTTTTTTCCCTAAAAATAGTTTCTTTAGTTATAAGTAGTCATGGGAAAATATTTTTTTCTGTAGGAGCCTTTACTTCAATTTACAATCATACGTTTATCACTGTATTTGCCCAATAACTCACCAAAACAATAGTGAGATCTATGAGAATAGGAAATAGTTCTAGTTTTTTTCACAATTATACAGGGTGGAGCCAAAGTAGGTTTATAGTTGCGAGTACACAAAACAGAGTTTATTCTTGTATTATTATTTATTAATTATTGTATTATTTTCCATATGAATAACTGCAAACCTACTTTTGCCTCTCCATGTAGTCAACCAGAATTCCAGAAATGTAGTAGGTAATAAGCATATGTCCACTAAGGGAACAGATAAAAAAAAATCAGAATATTAAATTCATTTTTTATTTCTTTTGTGTTTTGAGATATAAAATATTTTGTGTGATTAGAAAATGAATACTTAATGCAGCAAATGTTGAATTGATTCAGACAATTTAAAAATAAACAAATTATTTGATTACCTGTAAATCCCAATTGCCACACATATTTAAATTTAAGAGAATGAGGAACTATAGTTTGGCAAATATCATGGCAGATGGATCCACCGTAGCAAGGGTACAGAAGGATTAAGCGAACATTCTTCAGAAACCAACATGGATTTCTTGCGCATCTTGGGTGCATATATACTAGGAGAAGAAAGTAATGAAAAATGATACATATCTTACTGAAATGTTTCCATATATATTTTGGCTTGTAAAATACACAGCTAATTTCTAAAACTTGCAATTTATAAGTGTTTATAGGACACACCTTTTAACACATGTTTTGTGTGTTTCTCCTGTTCTTTTAACTTCTCTTTCTGTACCATATTTCATCATGTTCCTATTTAAAGTGCCTATGTAATATTTGTTTTGGCTTTGACTCACTCCTCAGTCTACAACTATAGTCTACAAACTTCCATCTGCTGGGCTACAATTTTTTAAATCAAATGTAATTGTGGTAAACATTAACAGACACACTACTTAGAACACACATGACCCAATAGGATTATCACAATGAAATGCCAAGGTACTATTTGAATTTGTTGGCTTTTAAATTTAAATCATTTGAAAACATTTTAATGTAATCAGGGTTTATTCCCTAATAAGATAATCTATCTATGGCAATCTCTAGCATTTTCAAAGACAGAATTCATAACTATTTTTATCCACATTGAAATTAATTAAATATAAGCAATTTAAAGTTACTCTCAAGCCATAATTAATTTTAATACACAGCACTATACTGAGGTCTTAGGATGTAATAAACCAATAAACTTAGTGTAAGCTCTGGAGACAGACTAAGGCTTTATATTCTGTTTAGAGCATATCTTAAAATTATTTCTACTTCTCTGATTTTCCAATGAGCAAATTCTCCACAAATTTGGCTATGGGAAGCACAGCTGAGTAATGGGGCACAAGGAGTCACTAACATCTGACAGTTCCTTTAATCCAATGACCAAAAAATTAAACTTTCTTCTAATTGTTCTAAGTTATATCAACCTCCTCTTTTAATTCACAATACAATTTCTTAATGGATAGACAAAGTATGAATCTTAAATTATATCTGACTACTATATAGCTAACTGGAATCAATACTAAATATTGGAAATAATCAGAAAAAATAATCATTTAATTATATTGAATAACTACCAAGAGAGTACAATTCTATCAAACATTTCTAAGTCTTGAGATCACCAACATTTTTAACCCATAATTTTATACTAAGACTTAGAATTTTGATGCTTCAGATGGCATCAACTAATCTTCTCTGTCATTGAACATGTGTCTTATTGGACTTATGTTCATCATTGACCTAAAAATATAAAGGCATAATATATTTGAATCTATGGCTGCACAAAATAAACTTAACAAAGTAGCATATTACATAGACTCATCTCTGCATCTTAAACCAAATCAAGAAGAAAAACCTGAAAAACCTTAGCTTAAAAGTCATCTCTTAAGTTTTTGTTTTGCTCTGTGTGTTTGTGGGTGTGTTTTCTCAACTAAGAAAATCAGAGAGAGCTGCACTAAAGATATACAACCCTCATTGCTATCTGGCATATTCAGGAGTGAGGAATCCACTGAAAATAAGACTCCACATCTTCTGTAATAACTTTTGGAGATATTGACAAGTAAGGAGTAGATGCCGCTTAATAAAGACATTGCCAAGCAAAATAACGGGGATAATGTGGGTCCCTGCTCTCAGAGGTGCTGTGGTGCTCACACTGTCATTATTAATATCACTGGGAGACAAAATAGGGCTCTGGCTTTTTATGAATAAAAAACAGTCCCTCAAAATCGGTTTCAAGGAAAGTCAGAACCATTTATCTGTTATTAGACCCCTCCATCCTGAATGAGGACACTGAAGGTATCATGACTTTAGGCAAAGTTTGGATTTATAGGTGGATATTTGGGATGGGAAATTAGAGCTCTTATTACCATTCATAAATAACTGTAACACCAATAAATTGCCATTGAATTAACAAAGTGTGTGCTAGGAATAATTTATTTTATGAGAGAATATAGAGAGGTTATGTAATTCAAATGCAGGTCTATTTCTGAATCTGAACTCTCATTCATGACTTGTGTGTTTATGTGGAATTCATACACATATGCACATTCCACAGAAACAATAGCTTTGATGTACAATATAACCTTTAAAGCAGGTTAATAGAACATGAGTCAAGTAAAATAGTGATATGTTAGAATAGAGAGTTTTGAACAAGTAAAATAAAACATCATTTCTAAATAGCTCCAAGTTTTCTAGCAGACAACAAAAAAGAGAACTCATGAAAATATAGCATAATTCTTCTCATGATGAGTTTTATTTTGGTGGACTCATTCTAGTTTATTGAGAGGATCATATTTCCAGACAATATTCCTAAGAGATAAATGGATGTTAAACCATTGATAATCATGTAGTGATATTTATGTAGAAAATCATTTGTTAAATTGACCACAAATCCAATTTTTTTCCCTCTGAATACTGCTAGTTTATTTAAAAAATGATTTTCAATAAATCAATTCTTTCTGGATATGGATTCCAAAAATATTGCTAATGAGTAAAAAGTAGTCATCCAGAATTTAAGTGGACATGGTAACTAATATACTATTCACTGACTATTAAAACACTATTTTCTTATTTCTCATATTCTTAGAAAATTTAATGACTCAGAATCAATTGTATGGCAGGACTGGCATTTTTTTTGTGTGGAGTTCAGTTATTTTACAGTGAAATGAATTTCCAGTAGAATAAATGGTCCTCTCTATCATTAAGATGCCAAAAATTCCACAATGACCTCAGGTGACAGGGTAATATTAATTTTTCTCCATCAATTTTATTTATACCCATAGGGGTGTTAAAAAGTTTATATGAAAACACTCAGTTAGCTATTATTAATCTCCCCAGATTAATACTTAGAATGTTTAATACTACCTCCCATTGAATTCATGGATTAAGGAACAAACATTTGTTCATAAATCTGTGGATGTCTGAAAACAGATTTGAGCATTTATTAAGTTTCAAACTTTATTCATGAAATAGAAAAATAGCTCTTTATGTAAAATGGGTTCACTTGTAGTAGAGTGAATTTAGGGTGACTACCTCAACTGTTTGCCTGGACTTTACACTTTTAGCATTGAAATGCCTGTGTCCTATCAAACTGGTATGCTTGGTTGCCTAAGTAGATTATATATTCATAGTATTATTTCTGAAATGAAGGAGGATAAGAAACATTTTCAGTTAGTATATGATTAGAGAGAAAATAATCAGTTCTTCTAGGCCTCTGTAATGTGTGTTTGTGTGTGTGTGTGTGTTTATCAGGGGGTTAATTACCACAACATAACCTATCTAACACACTTAGCAAAAGTTCCCTCCATCTAAATGTGAGACTAAATTTGGTACTGAGGGTTATTTCTATTTTGAAATATTTATCAACTTTATTACATTGGCTCTAATCTTATAAAATATATAGCTCATAATTCTGTAAGAAAACTAAAATTACATTTATTGCAATAAACTTCAGTTGTTTATAGGGTGCTGAGAAAAGTATACATTGACAATAGCAATTTTAATTTTATCATACTTGATTTCCCATTTATTTATAAGAATTGAAAACAGTAAAAAATTCAGAATTTGTACTATTTCTTTTGGAAGTGAGTAGGGTGCCAGAGGGCGGGGATCTACAGATAATGCATTTAGAAATGAACATCTACCTAAATGTTGACAGTGAACTAATTGGAAAGCATTATGCTAAGTGAAATAAGCCAGTCAGGTAAAGATAAATATCACATGATCTCACTCATTTATGGAATATAATGAACAACATAAACTGATGAACAAAAACAGATCCAGAGACAGAATGTCAAACCTCAGAGGGAAGGTAGGGGAGGGTGGGGGTAAGGGGGAGAGATCAACCAAAGGACTTATATGCAAATGGACACAGACACAAGGAGGGTGAGGGCATGGGTGTGTGTGGGGCGGGGGTAATGGGGGGATGAGAAAACATATGTAATAACTTAATCAATAAAGAAATTAAAAGTAAAAAAAAAAAGACTTTCATTCTTGGCCCTCATGAAAGTAAGCAAGTTGGACTATATTAAAAATATTAAAATTCACCATGACATGCTTCTCTGAGGTGATTCTAGGTGATTTTCTAATTCCTTAAGGTCTTTCGTATATCTACCTTTTATATAAGGAGTTTTAATGAGGAAATTAAGGTACAATATGCTTCTCAGGGTCAATTAGGGTCATTTTAAAGTTGAGATCATCACCTGGATGAGAACACTGGGCTCTTAATATCATTACGAAAAAGATAGAATACCCATTTTAAAACTCTGCCTGAGCCAGGTATAACTTTGTGTAGTAAGAAGAAGAGAGGGACCTAATTTTTAAAAACTAAAATATAATGTGTTTCCTAATTCCTGTATTCATTGTTCAAAAAAAGATGAGTAATTTTAATTATCTTTACATGAAAATTTGACTGGGGGGTAGTGCATATCAAGCTGTTTGGCATAATTATGTAGTTAAACTTTGTACCTCATTGTAAAAAATTCTAGTCATCAGCATGTTGTCAAGCTGAAGTTTTTGTCAGTTGAGACAGAGTGGTCATCCATCTGCCTGTAATTCTAGATCCCTAAACCGTTCTGTGTCCGATCCCAGATTTAGATAGGAAAATGTTATAAAGAACTCGGGAAAGGAGGTAGGAAACATACTTAACATATTTAAGTATATGTTTAAGTATTCTTAAATATGCTGAGATATTTATGAGTCTCTCTCTCTCTCTCTCTCTCTCTCAGTTTGAGGAAGCAATTCCTTCTTATAATAGGTGGACTTCTTATAATACGTGGACACTATTGTCAAACTAAACTTTGAGTGACTCTTACAAACGTGAGATAAGATCATAGTGTGCCTGGAGCACAGAGTTTCCACAAGGTAGGTTTTAAATAAACATGCTTGCAAGAGAACAGTTAGTGATATCACACAAAGACAAGACGCAGGAAAGAAACCTACAATATTAAAACAAAGGATAAAGACATTTTCCATAAAGATACCTGACTAAGGATTTCACTAAAGCTTATTGAGTAAGAATGAAAATTAGCTAACCCCTGGGCCTCTTTAATACCTGTGATTATATCTATAATCA